TTAAAGTTGTTGTTCCATTCTTTTGATACTACTAATATCAGAAGGTGAAACACTAACGTTAATGTTATCATACTAAACAATGCAACATAATAATAGAAATCAATCAAATCAAATTTTGCAGATGTTTACAAAGCTTTTATTTTTAATACTTAGAAAATGGTGTTCTTCTTTGTCAACATGCTAATAATGTAAATGATGCTGCACGTAAAGCATATTCTTTAAAATTAGCACCTCGACCATTAACATCGACACTTGAAAATTGTAAATATCGTCCCGATGCCCGCCCACAAACATTTAATGCTCGTGATAATGTATCACAATTTATCAAATGGGCACGTCGTGTTGTTGGTGTACGTGAAGTTTTAATGTTTGAATCTGATGATTTAATATTACGAAAAAATGAAAAAAATTTTCTTCTTTGTTTACTTGAAATTGCTCGTTATGGTTCACAATTTGGTGTTAGTGTTCCAGCTATAATAAAATTAGAAGATGAAATTGAACAAGAAATTCAACGTGATAAACAAACAGAAATAATGTCATTTACTGAATTAAGACGTTTACAACGAGAAGAAAATCTTAAAAATATTTCAAATTCATCAAATTATGGAAAATATAGTCGATTATTAAAATTTGTTCGACATGAAAATATTGATTCAAATAATAATAATAATAATAATAGTCATAATAATAGTCAAAATGAAACAACAAAAAATTCGTATAATACATTTTCTTTATCACATTCAAATGGTGCTAATTGGTTAAGACAACGTATATCACGTATACCAAAATTTACACATAATAATAGTAAAAAACGACAAAATAGCGAAGAAAGTAATGATAATTCAACATGGAGTGATGGAACAATAACAACAATCATGTCAAACAAAGAACAGACAATACCACAAATCAGTCGAACTTTAGGAGAAGGTGAAACTAGAGTTGAAACACCAATAACATCATCACAATTACATAAAACTGTAAGTTTTACATAAAAGTTAATAAATGCATGTTTTGTTTTTGGTTTATTTAGGTTGTACAAATGACAAATTCATGTTGTTGTGCACAACGTTTTCCTGTTATACGTATTGGTGAAGGAAAATATCGAATTGGAGAAAGTGGAACAATTATTTTTATTCGAGTATAATATTTATTTTAACTGTAATAACAAAAGGTTAATTATTTTCTTTCTTATTCTTATATAGATTCTTAGATATCATGTCATGGTTCGTGTTGGTGGGGGTTGGGATACTCTGGAGAATTATCTAAATAAACATGATCCATGTCGTCGTACAGGTGGTAAGTCAAATGTAATGTCAATACTTGTTTTTTATTAATTTTATATCTATGCAAAGGTCATCGTCGATTAGAACCAAATGAACATCATACAGACATACCAATTCTAGCTATACCAACTAATAACATATCATCTAATTTTCAAAAAACGACTCCATATGGTAAATCAGTAACAATAAAAACTGAAGAATATCCACTTTCAAAATCAACAATACATGATACAAATTTAACTGATGCACAACTTATTATAACACGTGATGCTGATGGATGTCATCATATTGGACAAATAACATATAAAAGTGAAGATGATCTTAATCAATTACATTCATGTCCTCATCATCATCATAGTAATAAACAATTATCTCCAATACCGAAAGTAAAAAGTGCTCGTGGTACAGGACATTTAATAACACCATCTATTTATGATAAACAATCATCACCAAGTACTGATCAAGATTATTCATCCTATACACCAACATTATCAATTGAAACTAATCTAAGTAATATATCAATAAATGAAAGTCATAGACAATATAAAACTAAATCAATTTGTAAACAATCTTCACAATCAAAAATTTTCAAGGATAGTTATAAAGAAAATCAACAAAAAATAACATCAATGAATAAAAAATCACAATTTGGTTTTACAGAATCATTTATTGATAATATTGATGATTTTATAACACCAGCATTAGATGAATGTGAACATGATTTTGATATAAGTGATATTGATGATATTATACGAATAAATAATCATGATGAAAATCGAACAAATATAGATGAAGATAGTTTAGAAAGTTGTGAAGGTACTTTAGAAATTAATAAAAAATCTATATTATCATCTCGTCAAATTAATTCCGATATAAAACCAATTTTAGCAAATGTAAAACCAGGTGGAATTTGTACAGCACTTTATTTAGCTCATAAACAAAAACAAGCATCAAATAATAAAAAATTATCATCAACATTTTTATATACACGTTCAAATACATTACCAAATGTAATTGAAGCTGTAAAAAAAGAAGCACAAATAAATAAAACATATCGTAAAACAACAACAACAACTAATAAACAACGTTCACAATCAGCAGAATTATTTAATAAAAATTTTTTAAATGATACATCAAAACTTGATCGAGATTCAGGTTTTGATGAACAAGATTTTCGTTGTGAACGTTCACATTCAAGTTATGATGATAATTCAAGTCTATCATCTATGAAAAGTGTACGAAGTTCAATTACTCGTTCATTATCATCTGATCTTAATGGACAAACATATCGTGAAAATAAAGCTTATGAATTACGTTTAAAAGCACTTGATTATACAAAAATTTTAAATGAACAATATGTACAAGATCCAAGACTAAATAGACGAAGAAATTTTAATTATACATCAACACGAACAAATAATACAAATCAGTTAACAACACATAAATATAAAAAAAATAGTCAAACAAATTCTTATCTTAAACGTTAACAATTATAATAAATTTATGAATTATAATTCTTTTCGTTTTTGTTGTTTGTTTATTTGTTTGTTATTGTTCACAGTGACTTAATTAGAATTTTCTTTTTTGTTTTCTGTAAAATCATTCCATGAAATTAATATATGTTGTATAGGTTTTCTTTGTGTGCTTTATGCAGTGACTATTGTTAATTCATTATATTTACGGCAATGTTAATTAAAGTTATTTTCGAACTTAAAAATTGATATATTCATGAATATGAAAACTCAATTTAAGATTAATCATAAAACGATTGCCTTTAGAACTACTATTTGTTGTCTGTGTAAATCTCAATTGATAAAATAAATATAATACACGAAATTATTACTAGTTTATCATGGACATGTGAAGACTTGATTATAAGAAGAATAAACAAAAAAAAAACAGTTAGTTCGAACTGTATTTATCGAAGTCTTTTTTTCATGATCTTATCATTCTCAATTTCAAGGTATTCGAAATCGTGTGTATCACTATTCATTATTCACATATTCATTGAGCAACTCTATTTAAGAAGAACAATTGCATATGAATGATTGATGTCTCCAATGTATACCTAAAAGGACATGGTTCGAAGAAATGTTATAAATAGAAGTGTAAGCCGATGAGTTGATCGACGTCGGTGGCTGAAAAAGGAAAATGTTTTTTGCTCACAACAGTGGCGATTGGACGTTTTTCGATGATATTTTTAAAAATTTTCTTGATTTCGAGATATTTTGAAATAAAAAAGATAGAAAATGGTAGTAGAGAACTAGCTGATAGAAAACTGGACAAGCCATGTAAAACAAAATCTAATTTTGAGCCTAATTCAAATCAGATTATTCAATATCTGATCGATTTTGATCCTGAGGGTTGTAAAATGCGCTTTTCTCGAATTTTAATTTAGAAATTCAAATTTCTAAAGTTTCTCAGACTCCTTAGTTCAACAAATGGTAAATATAACGTTAGACTATCCTTTGATGCACATGCCATACTCTGAATTACTATACCCAAAAGCACTTCTTCATACAGAAAAAATGACGAATAATTGGGTCAAAATCGGTCATTTCTCGATTGAATTGATTAAATTTTGGTTTTCAGCTTCAAAGATAGTTAATTAATTTTAAATCATAAAAAGTCAGTTAAAAGCAGAGTTTTTTTTTGCTTTTTTTTTTATAAGAAGAATATGCCCGAAAAATGATTCTGAGTGTCGAAAGTTTTCGAAAATTGACTATCTTTTTTGGTGTGTCACGGCGGCGGCGGCGATGGCTGAGAATGTTTCCAAAAAATCAATGGCAGCTCAGTCGCTCGGCATACACCTCTAGTTACGAGCGCATAATATAAAAATTATCTTCATTGAAGCCTAGTTGAATCCTAGTGGTCAGCAAGCGTTCATATGTACTTCGAGATAGTTTGTCTACTCACATTGATAATAATTGGGCGTAACTGACAGATATTATCAGTATACCCTATGAGTTCTCATTAAAATCTATCTAGAAGATGGACAGTAGAACCTGCCGGGTTAATCTCGGATTCCGACCTGACGGATACTAATGAGTGGTTTCTTCTAATATTGTATACTTATAAAAGTGTGATGATATTGTCTTGAGTTCGCATGGACCCCAGGTGGCCGTCTCAACGTTGAAATTTGTATTTGATATTATAGCTTGAAAATCGCTTTTGAGTTTGAACTCTGTGCATAAGATAGACCCTCATGAAGTATTAAAAGCCCTAAAATGATAAAGGCATCTACACCTTCCGCCCTCCCCGAGCTATAAACGTTTTACTGAAACTTTAGCCCATAGATAGATCTATGGGTAATTAGAATGTCCTGAAAATTTCAGCTCAAAAGGCTGTTCTCTTCAAAAGATATTGAACTCTCAAAAACCACTCATATTCCACGAAAAATTCGAGAATCTTCTGCTTTTTTTTGGGATTTCAATAAAACGTCTATAATTCTGTAGGGAAGGTCTAGATGTCCTTTGGAGGTTTTGATACTTCATTGGGATCTATCTTATTCACAGAGTCCAAACTCAAAAACTGATTTTCAAGTTGGAGAGATTTTTTCGTCAGTCATTGAATATTAAAACAACAAACTTTTTGATTATTATTAACTTCATTATAACTGGTGTTTTGTTTTTGGTTTTGAAAATAATAAACAAAATAAATTATTTTCTTATTTTAATTAAACAATGTTAACAAAACAAATATTTTAACAATGATCATTCATTGATCTGTTCTATTTCGAATGCCTGCCCATTTTCCCCAACGGCCTGATTCATTTCTACCTAAATGTGGTTGATTAAAACGCTCAACAACTTTTCGATCCCTTTGAAAAACAAAAATCAAAAAATTTTCATTCAATTAAAATAATTCTAATTTTATCTTACGGAATAGCTTGGAATGCTTCAGTCCAAGACTGTCCATGTTTCAATGCCATTAAAATAAAATAAATTTTATCCAATGATAATGCACGACTAGTACTACTACCAAATCTAAAACAAAACAGCAAATCTCTTTTCATATTCTTTAAATATATTCATCATACTTTAAATATCGTTCTAATGGTAATCTTTGATGTTTTATATTATCTCTTTTAGCTTTTGCTAATGTTAAAGGTCGCCCACCAACACCTAAATAAAATGATGTTAATAAAAAAAACAAAGAAATTTCATAAAAATTTTTACTTACTAACATCAATAATAGCACCAATAATATATACAGCATCATGATCATATTCTGACATTTCATATGGACTATGTGGTGTTAAATAAATTAATTTTTGTCTATCAAATAAATCTAAATAATTTTCTTCAGTTGTTTCAAAACATGATATACCACGATTTTGATTAATACGTTTAGATAATTCTTTTTGAATTTGTCCATCAATTGCAACATTACATAATGTTACAAATGATGGTGAATGATATCGATATATATTAGAAAAAAAATATTCAATTTGATCAACTAATTTTGATATATATTTTGAACGAACATGTTCAATTTCAAAACCACAATCAACAAGTATATATTCACCAAGACGTGCTTGTGTTATTAATTTATTATCACGTATCCAACGTTCTGTATGACCACCAGTTATTTGACGAAACATTGATGTATAACCAGGATAATTTGTTAATGGTAGACCAGCTGCAGCTAAATCAATATGATGTGCAGCTGATTTAATACGTCGTTCTTGTACAGCTGCTTTTTCAATTGCACGTTTTCGTTTACTTATTTCACGTAGAAAAAGATAATTATATATTGATTTACGATTATTTAATAAAGGAGATGAGATTAATTCTGGCCAATATTCATCAGGAATATTATCAGGTACACGTTCACCACTTTCACGTAATGTTTGAATTCTAAAAATTAAATTTATTTTTTTGGATTTTTAATTTATATTTAAATAGAATATTTATAATGACTTACTCAAGTAAAATTACTTGACGTTTTTGTTCATCATTTAATGATTGATATGATTGACGATGCCGTAAATATTCCCAAAGCCATTCATTTGTGTCTACTGTTGATGATGATGTTTGATTTGTTTTATCAGATAATTTTGAAGAAATGAAATCAGCAAAATATCTATGATGATATAGTAATTTATTACGATGAAAAATTAAATTATTCACGAAAGATAATGATCGGAACATTATATATCTTAAATAACAAACTGTTCAAAAGATATTTTATTGGTATAAATCCATTGATTATCAAACTTGTCTAATATTAACCTTTAAAATATTTAAATCATAGATGTCTTACTAAATCAATACGAATTATAAAAAAAAATAATTGTTGATGAATAATGATCATTGTTTTGAGCCCGAGTTAACTAAGAAAAATTAATAGTATTGAAAATCAGTTTAATTCAATAGATTTCATCTTTCATATACACTATAAAGGATGTTCCATTAGTTCCAAATCTCAACAAAATTTAGTTTTTATTTAACCAAAAAAGTGATTCCAACCTAACAATATATGTATGAGCTTCGAGTATATGATAATAAAAAATCTCGAAATCGAATAGTATTTTTTAAAGAAGCTTTAATGAATTATTAATTCATCGTATGTAATGTAACACAACTACACGAAGTAAAACATAGTATCTAGAACGTGAGTGTGGCTATTCTCTTTATCCACATCAGAGCTGCCAGTCTGGCCTATAAGGTCAAAGTTGTTAGTCTGGCTCTTAAATTTTGGAAATTAAACACTGATGCATCGTCTTACTATTCGAGAGTACTTTTAGAAATTCATTCGAATCCTCTAACAAATCCTTGAACTGAATGTATTTGAAAAATTTTTCTATAGTCTTTTTGTTTTAATTTGTTATTCTTTTATCTTTATGGACATAAATTAAATGTACAACTGAAGCTAGTTTAATATATTAATGTAGAATTCTAGAATTAAACGTATTCGTAATATCAGAAACAGCAATTGGTCCAATTTGGCCTGCAAATACTCCGAACCATACCAGAAAAAGGTGACCTAGTGGCAGTTCTGACTGACACTCTAATTATCACGTTTCTTCTATTTGTATCAATATTATTAAAAGAGATAATTTTTGTTGAGATTTAAAACTTATCGGATACCCTTTATATCATCTAGTTTATTTCAAATATTGGAAAAAAGAATAACGAATTCAAAATAGGAAAAAAGTTTATAGCGGATGCCGCAATTTAAAAGAGATAATATCATTTTCTGTCTTTTTTTATGTACTAACGACGGAATCGCTCGAGGTGTCCAACACCGATTCCCTTCATTCATAGATCGTTTGATAGAGGGTATCGAGATGGTAAAAAACCTAAAAGGATTTGTGCTGACGGTTCTTTCTTGAAAAGTTACGCCGCCTAAAAATAAAATGCTTGAATTCATTCATTAATCTGACATCAATTAATAAATTATTTACATATGATGTTTTATTTTCATTGATGAACTTCACATTATTGATGAAGATAGCTGATTCTCCTGTTCTTCGCAATTTATTATCGATACTTTCCAATCAATGTTTATATTCATTCGATGCTAAATGGCTTACGAGAACTGAAGTGTCAATACTGAATACAAACAAAATCTTATCCAATATATTTCAAAATCTCAAAGGAATAGTGCCAATTGAATTAAAACTATCGTTATAAGAAAACGTGTATTCTATTAGAAAATAGACAATTATTTTTTTTTATAACAAACATGTTCTTTGAATTTAGACAAAGTCGATGGCCATATAATAGATGTCTTCAACAGTCAATTATTCCGTTGCAATGAGATTATTATGAATAAGGATTATTGGATCCAACGATGAATTTCTTTCTTTATCACCACCTATCGTTCCTTGGCATCAAGTTACATCGCTTTGTATTCCTCATCCATTCAATTCAACTCATCTTCATCTTATCTTTTCGCCAATGACTAATCTATGTACTTTAAAACTACATTACAGAATAGAATTTGAATATATATGTGATTCGAAAAGGGAAAGTTTAATTCATTTCTTTAACGATGTGTCTTTGTGTAATATGCTCATGTCAAATGACTTACGACAATTTAATCTTTTTCTTGTTATGTATCAATCGAATTTGATGAGAATTGCCTATTTAATCGTCGAACGACTACCTCATTTGCAAATCATAAAACTAGATGGTGTTACCACCGATCGATTGATTAAAATGTCACATATATATTTATGAATGGTCTCGAGAAATTCAATTTTCTCACTATTAATGGTGGTATTGAAGATGGTGAATATTTTGAAGAAAGATTGCGTGATCTGCAAAATTTAAATACTCGTTCTTTTCGAGTGGAAGTTCCTAAGACGATATATAAAGATATACTTTTCATATGGCTATAATAAAATGAAATTGCGAATATTTCTTTGTTTTTTCCTAGTTAAAAATTTTTTTTTTTTGGTAAAAGAATTGTAAAAAAATTTTCATACAAATAAAACGAAACTTTGAATTTTGTTCTGTTTATTGCATCAAATAAAAAGATCTTTTGTTTTGATATAAAGTTAGAAATAACAATCTTTTTTTTTGTTTTATATATATAAAAGAAATGAAATCACTTCGATAGATGTGTTTTCACTTATTTCAGTCATTTTTCTAAATCTTAGAGTTTCTATGAATTTGATATAGTATAATAACCAAAGTAGTATGTTTACAAACATACGTCTGTAAATTTATTTATTTTACACATACATATGATAGGTATCGTAAGGAGTCGAGTAACTTATAATGATATTACAAATTCATGAAATGATATTCATGTAATAATTGATATGCTTGTATTTCGTCGTTAGGATCAATATATGAAGATTCAAACTAATAAAATATTGAATTCTTTTCAAACTGATTTCTATTAATATTACTTTAGTATTTTTTTATTTTATTGGACGGAGCCGAATACAGCAAAAACTTTTTTTTGAGCTAGATCCAGGCTTCAATCAAGGTAACTGGGTTCAGAAAAATATTCGTCCTTGAATAAATACATTTTCTACAGTAATTACATTTTACCGTTGATTACTTTATCATAAATGATCATCTCATAAATCTCATATTCATCTTGTTCTATTATATTGTCTTAATGCAAAATTCCGGTTTCGATAGAATCGATGCACTTGTGTACTGTTATTGCCAAATTATGTTTATGTAATAGCTAAATAAATACGCCATCCTCATTCTTTCGTTGTCACGCTTGTATGACTTTCTATTTTAACCTAACTGTCATCGTCGTATGTACGTATGTTGTTTATCAGTTGTAAAAAACAAAGTAATAACAATGGAGCAAAAACAAGTTATTCAATCCTATCGAGAAGAAGTAAAAACATTGCGTTCGAAATTATCTCAACTAGAAGTTAATTCAATAGAAGAAGAAGCTGTTGATGAAATACATAAATGGCGACAAAGTTTTGATACATCTTCATCACGTCAAATTGAACCAGTACTTAATGAAATGGAGAAACGTAAACAAGCAGAAGTCAAAAATTTAGCTAATGAATTACGTATTTCTCTCCAACAATTCAAAGAAACAAATTTCAAACGTCTTGCTGAACTTGATGCATTCATTTCAATGATAAGCCTCAATGATGAAATTCAACTAGATTATGTTAAACATGAATTAGATTCGATCACCAAGAAAATCGATTCATTTCATTTCAATATTATTGTACAAGTGGTTGATAAGTCACATCGACGACATTTATCAACTGCACTTACTCGAAACACGCTTGAACTGGTTAAAGTATTAGAGTTTGAAAATCCACGATCGACTTCTATTCGATCGTCTAATTTTTCTGACTCATTTCGAAATTTTATCCGTCGTGTATCATCGATTGGAGCACGTCATTACGATGTGGATGTGCTTGAACCACAGAAACATTTATAAATTGAACAATATCTAATAACTTTATTTATAACTGAATAAATTTTTATTAATATCAAAAATAATCGATATATCCTTCAGTTAATAAATCAAAAGTAAACAATAAATTGAAATTTCTTTCTTAGTTGAGAATATATGAATAATTCATATAAATACAAATAAATATTCATTGATCTTGTCCTGTATTGTTGTTTAATGGATATTAAATGTAGTTTTGTAATCTATAATTTTGAACAAAATCTGAATCGAATATTCTTTGTTTCAATTTTATTTATGTACATTGATTTGAAAAAAGACGATAAAGATTATTCGACATGAGTAACTTCAAACTACATAAGATGAATATCTGATTTTTTTTTTTGTGAAACATAATCGCAAAAAGTATTGAAATTCTACGAATCAAAGTTTATTTCATTCGTATTATGACACATACATAGCAATGTTATTATGATCTTTGTATAGGTCACGACAAATGTCATCAAAGATTTGTCTTACGGTAAAGTTAATAAAGATTTTTCTTACACAGAGAAAGCACTGTCATATTGTAAATTTTGAGTTATTAGTCTTGACATTAAAAATTTTATTTAATCAATCATAAAACCAAAATAATAATCTTTGTTAATTTTGTGTAATCTAAAATCAACATATATTTCAATGAGCAAGGAATTCAATTTGTGTATTGAGCTATATAAAAGGCAATAATATATGTTTTTATATACAGAAACATAATTGCAATTTTATGTAACTTAAATAGATCTATATTTCAGTTAAAACAATCTTTTAAAAATAATGGCGAATGACAAATAAAAAGAATGAAAACAAAATAAATTATTTAAAATTAATTCAACTATATCATTACGAATAATATGTTTATACTGTACTGTCTACTAAATATCATTGATATACATACTGAAAATATCATCGATGTTACTTAAAACATACAATTTCAAATCTTGCTTAATTTTGTTTTTTCTCCTCAAATCTCATATTAATTATATCTGTCATTCTTATTCAAACATATTCAATCATTTTAATACCTGAAAAAGAACACTCGATATTAGTGAAAATGACATTGAAACAACTAATGTAATCTATATGTTTAAAAGTACATGATGATTATGTTAAATAGTATTAAATCATACGAAAACTTGATATCAATAAAATTCAATACACTTTTAAATTGATAAAAATAATTCATATAATAGACAACAATATAACAGATGATGAAATCAATTCACTCATTGTAAGATTTATGTCTTTAAGAACACTTCAATATGGATATGTCTGTTAAAATGACTGGTCATCTCATGCATAATCAAAATCGTCTAAGCATCCAGCTGTTGTCTTCTATTGAATTTCCTTGATATTGTCGTTGTTTTTTTTCTTCTTCATATTCGATTTGTAAAGATTTTATTCTTTATGAAAATTTCTATAAGATATGTATCAAATGATTGGCGGAAGATAAAAACTACCCACTCAATCAAAAGATCATGATTGACATACGATTATGGACAAGGTATCTTCAGGGCATTGTCAAAAAGTATTTTTCACATTAATGTATACTCCATTTCTTTTTCACTATTGATTGACCTTTTACATTATTATGTGAAGAGAATATTTTTTTTTTTTGTTCATCGAAGGACTACAAGTGACTTTTTATGCAAAAATTGATAGGAAAAAAAAAGATTGTGTCAGATGGGTAATGGCCATTTTTTTTTCTTTATGTTAATTATATAGATAAATGAAGAATACTGATTGTTCGAGGCATCAGCTGAATATACAGTCGATACTTCGTAACAAAAAAATTTAAACAGCATAAAAATAATAATCATCGGGTTGCAACACTTTGTTCCTTTTAAGCATTTACATAACATTTCTACATATGAATGTATGTATATGACATTCATGTCGAACCATTATCGCTCATTGAACTAATTTTACATTGTGAACAAGCCGACGTATCCCCATCATGAACAATTGAAATACATTAACATTCTTTTTTTTTCTTCATCTTCTTTCTTTCTTTCTTTCTTTCTTTTTTTCTTCTATAAATTCACTTCAAATAATCTTTTTTTAAAGAATATTTCAGATTTACATTCTCTCCTCTTGTGAATATACATGTTAATAATTGACAAAAAAGGCACACAAAAGATAAAACATATTATTATGCTTATATAGTAAGTATGATGACGATGACATCTTTCTTATTCTATAAGAAAGATTAGTAATTATTATATATACTGTTTGACTTCCTACATGTCCATGAATGAATTTATGTTTCGATTGTTCATTTAGTTAAGTGTAGTTTAAACAAACACATCACTATCTTTCTAAATCCTTTCTTTTTTTTTCCTTAGTGAACATTAAAATACAACGTATACTACTAGATGGGCGATGTGTATAAGGGCTTCACACTATTTCTATACATATATAACATATGTAATCGTGTGCGTAAGCAAAAACAATTCAAATTCGCTTGATTAAGATAAACTTGATTGATTGAATTGAGGACGAAGACAACAGGTGTACTGTATTATATTGACTCTCATCTATATCACTTATAATTTTCTTGTCACACAGATATCGTATGCATATACGATTTGATTATTGAAAACAACAAATGAAGCACTTGAGATGTTAACGAATAAGAAACATTGATTTTTGTTTTCTCTGTATTGTTTTTTCTTTTTTCTTTATAATAGATGTTTTGACAGTTCAATCAACTCATCAGTTTCGTATAAATCTATAATTAACCTTAAACAAAAAAAAAATATTGTAGATAAGTAGGTATATGTCATTAGTTATTTTTAATTCAAAAATTATTTTTCTAGATAAATTCATAGAGAGAAATGTTGATATTATTGATATATGTTGAACTATTTATCAATTGACTTTTTATATCAAATCTATTTGATGATTTTTTCGTAGTATATTGAATCTTACTATTTTTTTGTTTTTATCATTTTCTATGACATTTTTGACAGACAGTTCTTCTATACAATTGTCGGTATGATTGATCATTTTAATCCATTATTCAAACGATTAATGCTAAAATCCCGGAAAAAAAAAGAACTAAATTGATTTTTTTTTTTTGTTTTTACGCAATCATTTTATTTCAAACGAACATATTTGCATTATAAAAGAAAACATTGAATCTACATGGTGTTAAGCTTGACAGAATTGTTTGTTTGTTCATTGCCGATAGTTTAGTCTTGTTTCTTTTTTTCGGTGTGAAATAAATTTATTTTCTTCTAATCATAAATTTGATGATGTAGTCTCAATTAATTAGTAGAAAAGAAAAAGAAATGAAATATATTTAATGTATTCATTCAACCATAGAGAGAATGAATAGAAAAAAAAAAAAATCTTACATTTCTAATAATTTAAGTACATATAATGTATCGAGTGAACAAATATCGTGATATATCTTAATTGAGTATGATATTAAAAATGAAGTTATAAGTTTATAGAAAATTTGAATAGATGAAAAGTAGAAAGAAAAAAAGAGCTCATCTCGATTGTTGATGAATATAAGAAAAGAACAAAAAAGAAAAAAAAAAAAGAACAATACATTTGAATATGTACATACTTTGTTATAGGTCGTGAACTCATCATCGATAACATGAAAAGATTCATACTAGTAATTTTACTTATAATACATCCTTCAAATGGTAAGTAATCAGTAAAAAAAAGAAATTTTTTTTATTTATTTATTTTTTTTATTAAAAGGTCGATGTCCAAAAGCAACATTTGAATTTAAAAATCAAACAAAATTGGCATCATATAATTTTATTGATTCATCTATTGGAAATATTGGATCATTAGAAACATGTCCTTGTAAGTTATAATTAATTCTTTAATGTATCAATTCAATTTTAATTAATAGATACGGGTCGTCCTTATGTCTATTTACCTTGTTATCCAAATTCATCTTGGGGACATGAACCATATTTTAGTAATTGTTTTAATCCAGCAAATATGAAAGAACAAACAAAAATAATAATATTTGATGATAATCCATATCAGAATTTAACAATTGAACAACTAGCTAAAGTAAAAACAAACGTCAATTCTATTCTATAGATTATTTCAAATTGTTTTTTGTTTTGTTTTGTTTAGTTACCTATAATTACTTCTCATGAAATATCTAATGTCTTATCATATTTAAATGATGAAACAACAAACTTTAAATCTTCGTATGATATAGCATTAGTTGTTAATATAATAAATCGTATAATAATGAATAATCAAAATACGGATGATATTCAATCTACTTTATATTCAATTGCAAATAAACTTTTATCTCTTGAATCAACATTACAAATACAAGAAGCTCAAAAGATGAATAGAAGTATTGTTAAGTAAGAATTCGAAATTTTTCTTTTTTTTGATTCGAATAAAACAAAACAAAAAAAAATCAAATTTTAATCATAGATTATTATCATTACTTGAAACATATTCTCAAAATTTTATATTTGATGAATTAGAAAAATCTTTTATTAAAACTAATCTTGCTGTATCAATTGTTAATAGACCAAATAGTTGGATGAAACCTATCATTGGTTTTTCATTTGGTATGTATTATTGTCAATGAAAGTCTTTTAGATGATTTTTGTTTTGAGCTTTAATTCTGTCAGAAGAAACATTTTTTTTTCTGTCAGACACACAATATTTCAAATTAAGCTGAAAAATGGTTGCAGTAATGATCGCGTTTTTTTTCTTATAAAGATTTAAAAAAAAAAAAGATCAAACTCTTAATAATACCCTAAGAAGCTTATAATAGTTTCCTTTGAAACAATATAGATCTCTTATGATTAGTAACTAATTTTTTTCTCCCATGTAACAAATGAGAAAGTCGTTTTTATTTGTGAAAATTTGTCTAAAAAAGTGCGCATATATCTTCATAGGTAATAGGTCTTGAAATTGAGTCGCTGTTAAATAATCTGGACTGATATTGATGATCAGTATAATTCTTTTACAAAAAAAAAAAGATTTTTATACAATGGAACTCAACACTCATTTAGGTGAGTTATCTTCATTGGAATCACAAATTTGTAAAGGTCAGACACTTTTAATGCTTTAAAAAATAACCTGATCAGTGACAAGATGCATCAACCTCCTTGAAGGAAGAAGTTAAGTTCAAGTCGAACGGTAGAACCCATCGGGTCCGGGTCCGAAGTTTTTGGACCCGACGGTGACTATCGAGGCATGATCAGTAATTAGTTTTTGAAGCGTTTTATATAGATTCGATTTTTCTTGAAACTTCAGTGCTAGAATTATTCGCCTATATTCTATAGATTCACAATATATTTTTAATGAATCTTTTTTTTTTTTCAAAAACTTAGATCCAATAAAAAATGAAACACAATCAATTAGTTTCGAACCTAATCATGAAAATTCAACGTTTATTATTCTTGATTCTCAAATAATAATGAAACAAAATCGTTTAATATTTTCTGTATATAATCAAAAAATGATTTTATTTGATGATAAACAATATCGTTTATTAACACGAATTATTTCATTAACTATTGATAAACCTGAATTAATAAAAACTATGGGATCATTTGTTAAAATTCATTTTTTTATCGAAAATAATTTTAATGAAAAAAATCTTAGATTAATTTGTGCTTATTGGAATATATTTAATAATATGACAATACAATGGTCAACACAAGGATGTAATTTGAGTAATGTAACAGAACGAAGTGTAACTTGTATATGTAATCATTTGACACATTTTGCTGTTTTAATGGTTTGTAAAGGAAATTTTTAATTTTTTTAATAACTAAAAAAAAATAATTTTCAAGGATATTGAACAAAAACCAATACCAGAATATATTGAACAAATTCTTTCAATAATAACATTGACTGGTTTATTATTATCATCAATTGGTTTATGTTTAACAATTTTAACATTTATATTTTTTAAGTAAATCAAATATCTTTTTTCTTTTTCTTATTAATAATAATAATAATAATTTATTTTTGAAGGAAATTACGTCGTCATTTTAGTCAAAAATCTCTTTTATTTCTATCAATAAATCTTCTTTGTGTTAACATATTATTTTCAATTATTTGTTTATATAAATTAAATCAATTAAAACATTTATTATGTATTATTATTGCTAGTTTATTACATTATTTTATATTATCATCATATAGTTGGATGTTTATTATAGCTTTAATACAATATTTATTATTTGTTAAAGCTTTTCCAAATTCATTTTCAGCATTTACAAGAAAAGCAGCAGCATTTTCTCAAAGTAAGTCATAAAAACAACTGTAGAAAAATTTCTTTCAAAATATTATTTTTGAAAAATCCTTTCCATTCTCAAACAAAAAGTCAATTTTCGAAATTAAGATACATGCATAGAAGTGTAGTCCGAGACATGATTTTTTATTCAGCACGTTCTTTTCTGCGAAAATTCTTTGATAATTTCTGCTATCATCTGATTTAAAAATATGCATTGTTAAGAAAAAGCGGACAATATTTTCTCTGTTTATGCTTTTTTTTGATCAAGCATCCTAAAATTCTCGAAGGAACTACATTATAGTCAATTGCTCTTTTTCTTCTATTGGAAAGAGCATGTCAAGATGTAGAACGTGACAGAGTATCTTTTTAGAACTAAGCTTTATTACTATTACGTAAAAGAGTATTTTTATTAGAGCGTCATTTTTTCGTGACATTGAACTTTGCTCCACTTGACAAGTAAGAAAAAAAGAAACGCTTTGTCATGGCCTTTCAAACAAAAAAAAAAATTAAGTGCATAGAATGAAGGCACACAGAATTTCGATTTGTCAAATGAGCTATTTTTGATTCTTGTTTATTCGATATCTCTCAAAACTATCATGATATATAGCTGAAAAGTTTATAATAGCCTCTCCGTTATAGATCCAACATATCCGAAAAATTTCATGCGAATTAAATGCATCTGGCTCAAGGTCGGATTTTGAATAGGAGCTCTTAAGAAGATCTTCTTTTCGGAATTTCTTGAAAACGACTCCACGCAAAGTTTATGAAACTTTCAAGGCAGATAGATCTCGATAAGTAGAATAAAAGTTGTCGTAGACTCAAAATTTTCAGATGCTTTCTTCAAGCAGATAAGATGTTCTCAAAGGCTAAAAATAGCCATAAATTCTCCCTTACTCCGCAAAACTCTATATTTCGCTTTTTCGAACAACTATTTCTTTATTAAAACTAGGATCGAATCGAGGTGTGTGTTCAAAAAGATCATTCCTAGATCTCAGGAGAACCAGAATACTGGAAACACTATCGAAAACTGTGTTTTTTTCTTCAATACTCCGAATTTTTCAAAGACCATCGAATTTCGTAGGAACAATATTTTGAAGAAGAAAAAAACATGAAAGTACTCATAAAAAAATTTTGAGCTCAATTGGACGTATCATGTGGGAGAAAAAAGGGAAAAAACTTGATTTTTTGTGTTCAAAAATTAATTTTGAGAGAAACGCAAAGTAAACTTTTCTGCATGTATTAGAACTTTTCTCTCCAAATAAAATGATCAAAAACTGGTGGTGTTAGAGATCTATGACTCATGCTTTCAGCACTTTTAGAAATTAACATTAGAAGAATTTTACATACAAAGAATAATCGTAGCGCAAGTTTTTCTACTACGGATTTCGAGAGTTGGCTTTAATAAAAGTGCTAACTGGCAACGAAGAGGTCTCACTTATATAGCATTTGATAGAGAATACTTCGATGCTATACTAAAGATCAAAAAAGTTTTAATTTTAACATCCGAAAAGGGAGATCCCCTTGCGACTAGAGTTGTAACCGGTTTGGTGTCGGACCAGTCGGTTTTTATTGGCTGAAAAGAAATATTTTATAGATGTGCCATGTGTTTTTGGTAAAACTTGTTGAGAGCAAGTTTGCGTACACTTTTCATAATAATCAATATGTTGTTTTAAAAACTATCCATTTTATTTTCTTCTGTTTGTCCACACTCTTCAATTTTTTTAAAAAGTACAATCAAAACTATATTGCTTAAGCAAAACTTATCTCATACATGTTTTGTTAAAGCTCAAAGTTTAAGTTTGAATCATCGTTCAAAGAGGCACGTTAGGTTTGTCTGTAAAGGTTGCGTGAGAAAAATTCATAATGTGAAGTTCAACAATCCGTCGATGGGTAAATGACTCTTTTCTTTCTCGTTACATATCGATATGTCACATATTCATCTTTGAGAAACCAAATAGATATAAAGGACTGTAACGTGATATTTCTTTCTGAGTCTATCCGTCAATTTCACCAATCTTTGGTCCTTGATTGAGTTTTATCGAGTAGGCGCCGCTGTAGCCCGTAGGATCCAAAATTTTCGAACCCGTATCCGAAGCCAACTCGACAGGCTCTGGACGGTGCCTTTCTCGGTATTTGTAGTGATTGTACTACGTACTATGTATCTGTGCTTCTAAAAATAAGTATTCACACTTCGGAAGATAAAACGTGGGTTTTAGAAAAATCTTAGTCTTTCTATTCAATATATTATAAAGATTCGACTTTAATTTTTCTGAAAACATTAAAAAAATGATAATTTCGAACTTGATTTTGATTGTTATAGTTATTCCATTGATTCCTGTTGTTATCATACTTGTTCTTGATCCATTGAATTATACACAACGAACTGATCAAATGTAAGAATATTTTCTTTTCTTTCTAAGATAATAATCATTTAGATTTTTTTTTCTAGTTGTTGGTTGTCAAGTTTACCTTTTTATTTATCATTTGTTTTACCGATTATTTTATATATTCTTATTAATAGTATTCTTTATTCAATAGTTGCTTATGCATTATTATGTAACAAAAAAGGACAAAATATACGTAGTACACAAATAATTGAATCTCAACGTTTATCACGATTTTCTATTGCATTATGTTGTTTTATTGTTCTTAGTCTAACTTGGATATTTGGTTTATTTACTATTGGATCAATACGTATATTATATCAAATATTTTTTTGTATATCTGCTTCTCTAACAGGTTTTTCTATATTTCTTCTTCATATAATAACATCAAAAACAAGACGAACTTCTTGGAATAGTAAGTTAATTTATTTTATTTTAATTATTTAATTAATTAAAACAAAAAAAATAATATAGATACTTTTAAAACACTTGGTATATCAACAATTTATTCTCCATCGTCATCATCATCATCGGGTTTTCTTGGTAATAAAGAATTTTCTACAACATCAAGAAGTGATCAACAAAAAGTTTCATCACGTCATATACAATATTCATCTAAACCTCAACATTTTATTGATGCATATATGCCATCATCACCACCACCACCAGCTCCACCAGTATTACCTCCACCTCCACCACCATTATTAATGGAAGGTGATGATTCATTATGTACAACAAATATGACAAATCTTTGTTATGAACCAAGACATGTTTGGGCACCAGAAACAAATTATATTTATGAAACAAATCAATTAACAACATCGCTTGATGATTATTCTCTATTCTATGCATCGAATCATGATGCTACAAAACTTTAAAAAAAAAAAACTTCATTTCGGTTTGTTTTTTCTTTCTGTTTTATACAGTCAGATTTATGTATACTCAATAATCCGGTTGTTTGTCTAATTCATTTTCCTGATTACATATAGATATCTATAGTGTTTTGTGTTCTTTTGTTTTTTCGTTTTTCTTTGTATTGGTATCTTCTTATATACGTTTTTATGTATGATTATTCGTCTTTTATTAATAAATATAGAAGAAATACTCTAGCAGCAGAGAGTATTGTAGACAAAAAAATTAAGAAGAATCTATGTGAAGACCATTCTCAAAAACAAAAAGTCAATTTTCGTGAAAAACATAAAAATTTAGATGAATGCATGAGAAAATAGCTCTAGGTCTGATGTTTCGTAAATGGCATGATTTTTTTATTTGACACCTTGTTTTTGCCAAAAATTTCCGTCGTTTTCTACTTAAAAAGTATTTTTTTTTCAGATAAACGGGAAAATTTTTGTCACTTTGTCTCTGTTTATATTTTTTTTGATAGTGCATCCTAGAATTCTTGAAGGAACTTCATTGTAGCCAACTGTTCCTTTTTTTGTTTAAAAGAGCACATCGTGATATGCTCTTTCAAACAAAAAAAAAATTAAGTCTATAGAATGAAACCGTACATAGAATTATGAGTTAGTAAATGAGCTACTTTTTATTCTTGTTAGTTGAATACCTCCCGAAAATATCATGATATAGAGCTGAAAATTTTATCATAACCTCTTCACAACAGCCTCAACATATTCTGAAAACTTCATGCCATTTGAATGTACTTGATCCAAGATCGGATTTTAAGGGAGAACGGAACTCAATTGAAGTGATACTTTATTTGGTTTCTTGAATTGAATTCACTTTAATAGCTCTATTAGCTATTGGGCCAAGAAGCATTAAAAGATTATCACTTTTTTATTATTTGCATGACTATCATTGATTCTATGAAATCCGTTGAAGAGGAAATAACGTTCTTTTTAGTACCCTGCAACCCGATCAGATAGCCAACACCCAATGCACCCTGGGTGTGAGATCATACCTAGATCCGACCGTGCCATTGATGAGATCTGGACTCTTCAAAATATTTTTACTTTTTTAAACTGCTATTTATATAAAACAGACCGCCACAGAGTACTTTTTTCGCCCTGCCCGATCTCAGGACATATAAACTGTGATCGACTCTGGAATGCGTTGATAACCTAACGAAAAATTTTGATCATGTTTATATTCAGTACTCATATGTATTTTATATCATTTTAAAAGAATGTTATCCATGTATAAAACAATCATACAGCTGTACAAAAATTGATTAAAATTGTGCTATTTCGACTCAATTATAATCTGATTTTAAAATTACATTTTGGATTTTTCTAATTGCAAGCATTTTTTCCAAATTTCTTTTTATCGATGATAATTTCATCGATTAATTTTAATTAATAAATATTGACAAATCTTTTTAATCGATTGAAAAAAAATTCAAGTTATAATCGAGTGAAAATAATATCCTTTTTTTAATTCTTGACGAAGAAATAATTCTTTTTAGTTAAATATCTGGTCTTTTTTTTAGCATGGTTGCATGATATTAGTAGCATACTCATACAAAAACAAGATATCCATCAATGAAAACAAGGGTGCTCTATGACTGAATATAATCATTTAATTGATTCGACGTCTTTCATCACCATATAGCAGTAGGTGAAGATTCATTTTTTCTTTATTTGCTAGACCTGCTTACAATTTGTTAAGAGATGTTGAATCTCCTCAAAATCAAAAGAGTTCGTATTGAACGGTGATCAATTAGAATAAGTATTATATATATATAATATCTAACGAGATCGACTGAAAATATATATATATCACATATGTTCTGAAAGATTTATATTTTCATTTAGTAAACGATTTCAAATGACTTTTTATGAAACAAACATTACCAGGGCAAACTATTTTGACCTGCTCTGATGGCAGTCTCCGTAACAGACTTGGTCTTTTTTTACAATCTGAAAGCATTGTCACTTGATTTACTGTAAAACTAAAACTTAAAACATTTTATTTTTGGTAAACATACTACTCTTGTTTTCAATGCTTATTACATTAACCAAGAGCATATTTATTATCAAAAATAGTTTACAACATTATTATAGAATAACGATTTGTTTCATCTTGTGTATGTTAACCATTTCAAATATATGAAATTTTAATCATAAAATATAACTTTTACTTGCTTCTACTTATTTATTGTAAATAAAAACAAGTGACATCTGCATACTGTTATCATAGGATTACAGAGAAATGAAAATTAAAATAATAGAAAAACAAAACGTAAGCATGAAACGAAATATAAATAAAATGTTTAAAGATGAAAAATAGATCACCGTCATATAATTTTATATAATAAAAAAATAAAAATCTCTTCAAGAGGCTCGTCGAAATGTTTTTAATATTGGATAAATACGTTCAAATGCTTCATGAATTTCACGACGTTCTTTTGCACCTAAATAAAATTATCTTGTTCAAAAAAAACATCTAAGTATTTCTGGTTTTTATTTTTACCTGTAAGTACAACTTTACCAGAATTAAAAATAAGTAAAACAATTTTTGGTTGAATGACTCGATAAATTAAACCGGGAAATAATTCAGGTTCATAACTTAATAAAAAGAAAAAGAAAATTTTCAAAAAAAAAAAAACAATCACTTGAATATATAATTTCTAACCTGCAATATGTAGCATGTTTTAATGCAAGTGCTTCAAGTCGTATTTTAAAACTAACATCAGCACTTCCAACCATATTTTGAATTTTAAAATCGAGAAATTTAGCCTAAAAATGAGAATTTTTTTGAATTTTGAATAGAAGAAAAACCTAAATATTTAGATTTAAAATTTACTGGAAAACCAAGTTTTTGAATAACACGAGCATAACGTCGTGCTGCTTGAACAGAATCTTCTTCACTTTTAGCACCAGTACAAACCATTTTTCCTGAAGTAAATATTAGAGCTGTTGTTCGTGGACTACGAATACGCATAATAACGGCAGCAAAACGTTTCGGATTATATTCTGCATTACGAGCTTGAAGTGCAATACGTTTTAAATCTAATGGACAACCAAGACTGACAGTTGAGACAATATTTCTATGAAACAAAATAATTTTAACAAAATAGAAAAAAAATAATAATTTTTTTAGTACTGTAAACTTGGTTGAACACGTAAAGGATCAGCTGTTCGTGGTGTATATGGTGTTGCTGCTGCAGAGAAAGGTGTTGATGGTGCTACTGAACTAAGATGATAGGAAGTAACTGTTGATGGTGGACCCATATCTGGTATATTTTTTTTTGAAGCAATTGACGGACGATGCTGAAACCTATTATCATTTGACGCATTCGCGTGTGTATCTTCTCTAGAAGCAACACTTCTTGGTGTTAATGATGGAGGTAAAGACATAGGGGATGCATATTGATCATTCTGAATATCAGATTTAGGATTTCAAGATAAATAAAATAACAAACCTGATGGGAATGTGGATCACTAAAACCAGGTGAATAATCCATATTGAGCAATAAAAAAAATTATTATAGTAACAATTAATATTAATTTAAATTGTACGTAAATTTTTCAAGTATATACGCAACACTCAAGGAAAATTTACACTTGAGAATAACAACGCTATTGATTTGTCAGCTATGAGAAATATCCAGAAATTACATTTTGCACTATAAATAATAGATGCCGCTGGAAATAGAATGATTAACAACTTATCAAATGATTTGTGTTATATGCACATTAATCAGGTCGCGTTGTTCTGTCAAAGTCTATTTCATTCTTTACCTTTTCATTGTATCAATAGTTTGTGACATAATACAAAAATCAGTTTTTCAAGCTTTATTATAGTAAACATATTGGGAAAATTTACTTTTGCGATGAACAACAGGTAATATTCTTCTATAAAAAGCAGTAATTTATACTTTGTTGTAATATATAAAAATGATTTATAAAATTAAAAGAAATACAAAAATCAAATTCAACTTTTGAAATACACTAAAACTTCTCTATTGTGAATACCATTGAAAAAAACAACCTGTTCGTTCAATTTAGATAGTTGATTTATCTAAATGTCTTAAATTGAAAAAATTTTTCAACTTAAATACAAATTTTGTTTTTTTTTCAATACCTTTGATTCTAACTCATTAATCAATTCAATTTTTTCTTCCAAACTAAGCTTGTGACATAATGTCTTTGTTTTTCTTTACACCTAGAGCAGGCGTATCATGCATAAAATGTGCATACTTGTAATTCATAAGAAACAGATGGTAGGCAATGGAAAGAAGTCAGAAGAAAAACAATATACATTATAACAGTAAGAGGAATGGCAAAGAAGTGTTCATATTAGAGAGCGGCATTTTCAGCCAAAGGTGCTCCGTTGGGCTTGAGATCGTTTATAATTAGAAGATGTTGACTTTAGAGAAGTGTTTACTAGTAATGGTTTTATTGTATTTTCAATACATCTATTGATAAAAAATGTCATGATGTATGGGACAGAATTTATATTCAATATGCAAATAAAAGTAAAACAATAATTCTAATGTGTAGTAAGTTAAAGATCGTCTTTCACTGAATTATCAAATTTTGTTCTCAAATTCTTTGATTTAGTCAAAATGTTTCATGATTAGAGATGTGCAAAATCAAGTTTTTTTTTTGTTTCAGTCCTAATAAATCTAATATGTAATATTCTTTAATTGCTCAATCTATAGAAAAATGTCTGACAACAATATTTAAAACATTAATTTTTCGTATTCTTATTATAAAGATTTGAATTAAAACTTGAGAATTTTACATCTTTTAACTGGTTTTTTTCTACGCTTGTCTTCTCAAGGCATTCAATATCCAATAATTGATGATAGAGTACACTAGTTTACAGTGCATAAATTATTTATCTTTCTACTGGTCAAAACTTCACCATTAATATGAAAATACTTGATTATAACTATGACTCATAAGAAAAAAAAAAGAATGAATGAATGAATGCCCTATAACGTGATAAAATATCTACTTTCCTCTTAAACTTGCTTGATTGATTGATCGATCATATCTGAAGGTCGATAAAAAGAAGTGCCATCAATCTATATTGTTCTTTTTGTCTTATAACAATCTATTCAGTTTTTTTCTCCTATTTACAGATATACTAGATAAAGAATATTAACAGGTGTTGTTGTGTCTTTCTAGATATAGGAAACACCACATGGATCGACATTAACATATTATCACATAATATCATATCTAAGAAAAATAATGGCTAAAGCCTATGATTATTTATTTAAATTACTTTTGATTGGTATGTTTAATATTGTTTAACAATAACTATTTACATATGTTGTTTTTTTGTTTATTAAGGTGATAGTGGTGTTGGAAAGGTCAGTATGATATTTTTTTTTTTTTTTGAAATATATTTACATTTAGAAGTGTTTCTTTTTTATAGACATGTGTACTTTTGCGCTTTTGTGATTCAGCATTTAGCACAACTTTTATTTCAACTATAGGTAATTTATTTATTTTGTATTTTGTCTAAGATAATTGGAATATTTAATTAGGAATTGATTTTAAAATACGAACAATTGATCTTGATGGACGAAAAATTAAATTACAAATTTGGTATGTTAGATTTTTAGAAAATGAATTCCATTTTTCATTTATTTTCTTATTTGTCTAGGGATACAGCGGGTCAAGTAAGAATTTATAATCTTGTGTTGAGTTAAATTTTAAAATTTATATGTATATATATATAATAGGAACGATTTAAAACAATAACAACAGCTTATTATCGTGGTGCAATGGTAAATAATAAAAAAAAAAAGGAAAATTTTTATTTTTAAAAAGTTATAATTTTTCAGGGAATTATGTTGGTATATGATATCACAAGTGAAAAAAGTTTTGATAATATTAAAAATTGGATTCGTAATATTGAAGAAGTATAGAAATAAAATTTTCATTAAGAAAAAAAAGAATAAATTTCGATATTGGTTTGTTTTTTATTTTTAGCATGCATCAGCCGAAGTTGAACGAATGCTTATAGGAAATAAATGTGACATGCAAGATAAAAGACAAGTCAGTCGAGAAAAGGGTGAACATGTATGTAACATTTTATATAATAAATAAAAGAATTCATTTTCAATGAAAATTCATCTGTAGATCAGAGGTGTCTATAGGGTAGTTTTTACCATCCTGTCCTGCCTTATTCGATCCTCAGGGTAAGGCAGTATACCCTGCAGAGTTGACATACTGGCTCTATTGTAATTTCCAACATAGTTCAAAAGAAAAAAATGTTTTCTAATTGTATCATAGAACATTGTTTTATTTAAACCCATTTAATCAAAATGGTAACTCATAATTCAACTAATAAAATATATGAGTATCAAGAAAAAAGGAAAGGAAATGATATAATATACATAACTTAGATTGATAAGCTTTACTATAGAACCTTATTTGAAAAAATATTCAAGAAAAAGAAAGTAAGATAACTAATATGAGTTAGAACAAAAGCAATCAAATAAATAAACAATTTTTTCCTATATAAATGTTTTTCTGCTGATCTTACTAATGAAATATTTTCTAAATTCTCTGGTTGAAGATTTTTTCTTCATATTTTGAAAGAAATGAAAATTTTTTTATGATGATTTTTATAAAATCTAAAGGTTCTATTGTAGAGATTTCGACTTAGTATTAGCATTACATTAACTTCATACTAACAGCAATACTTCTGTATAACGATCCTAAGACAAAAGTATCGTAATTTGTATTGATTGATGTAATACTAAAGCGAAGTTAGTATTTCTGACTACTTTTAATAATTTTTGTTTATAGTTTTAATACAAAAGTATTGTAACTATTACGAAATTAATACAATATTGCATCGACTTAAGAGTAGCTACAATACTTTTGTCTAAGGATCGTTATACGAACGTATTGCTGTTAGCATTAAGTTAATGCAGTGATAATGCTAAGTCGACGTTCCTGTTCTATTGCCTTCTTTTTGCTTATCAAATTTAAACAAGAAACATTGACCAAGATATTATTTTTATTGTTTAGCACTATAAAAATTTGAAGATAAAGTGAAATGACTGGCAAGACAAGATAAAGACGTATTTGATTTAGAAGTAAAATCATGAGTAGATATTTGGCAAATATCATCATTCGAATCAGATGATATAGAACTCATGACTTAAAATTTTTGTTTTAATCTGCTAAAAACATAAGAATAAGAAATAAAAACACAATGCTTCAATAGTCATTCCACTTATTTTTTAATTCTATCTTGTTCATTTGGACGTAGATCTAAAGACGAACACTCTGAATACGCGTTAACACCGCTCTCGGTAGTATATTTCTGATTTTTGACTCTCAAAAACTGAACAAATGGTTCTTTTTACGATCAAAATTCGAAAACCTGATTTTCCACTTTGCAAGGTATAAGACTTTATTTCATCCTATTGACACCTCTGCTACAGATGATGATAAAATCATGTATGTATCCACAATTACGACGTTTGACATCAATACTACGTTCCATTCTAGCATCATCAGCAACAAACAAACATATATTGATCGAAACTGTTCGAATTTTAGAAGTAGAAAAACATCAAGTGAATCCTGAATCATTTGTGTTTTTTTGCTGAGTTTGAGTTGATCTCTTTTTTTTTGTCGCTGTTAATGGAAGCAACTAAATAGTATATTTTTTCATACAAAATAAAAATTTGAAAACCGTACGATGACTGTGAAAGTATCTGCCGAATGTCGCCTAGATCTGGTCGAGTATTGAGTACAGCTGTCGGGGCCCGACTATAAGATGGTTGAGTTCAGTGATGGTTCAGATATTAAAAAAGTGGTCGATTTAGGTTCAGTTGCGAAAACTTAGTTTAGATGAATCGAAAAATTCTTTGATTTGATTTTCTTCTTATTAAACAGGTGTTTAATGATTGTAATATGAATAATTTTTAGTTTTGAAAAAAAAACAACCAATAGTAATATCATGCTATTTCTATAACAATTTTTTATTTCAATATATATTGTTATGAAGAAAAAAAATTCCGAATTGTTCTGTAGATATGAATGTTATTAATATTTTGTTTTTCTTTAGCTTGCTATGGAATATGGTATTAAGTTTATGGAGACTAGTGCTAAAGGAAATATTGTAAGTATGATAATGATTATCATTGATATGTTGAATATGTGATGATTAATCTAGAATGTGGATGAAGCCTTTCTTTCTCTCGCTAAAGATATCAAAGCAAAAATTGACAAGAAAGCTGTATGAATTATTTTTTGGTATTTTTCTTTTATGTATATGAAAATTTCATATTTTTATTCTAGGGTACTGATCAAACTGGTAATCGAGTAATCTCTGGTGGTATTAGGCCAAAACAAGATTCAAATAAAAAACCTGGTACATCATTTTGGTCACGTTGCTCATTCTTCTAAACAAAAATCAAACAAATAACTTGTCATATTATTGATCATGTATTTTCTTGTTCGAAAAGTCATTCAATGACATAGTTAATAGCATGAACATCAATGACAAGTTTTCTTCTTTTTTTTTTCTTTTTTTCGTTTTTTTATTGAATGCCGATCAATCATTACATCCACTTTGTATATCGTACTGTCGTTTGTTTTTCTTTTTTTTTTTCTCTTTCATTATTTCATTTGTTATTATTCTTGGGTATCTAACATTTTTTCTTATTGTGGAATAAAATAAAACATATATGCTTCTATTAATTATGATTGTTGACTTTCGAAATGACAACGACAACGATGGACAAATATATCGATTAACTAGTTCACCAGTCTATTAATCGCTTCAATATGACATCTTATGATTTTTGTCGTCTTCTTTACTATATGTCCGAATGAATATTTTGTTCCTCCGCCTGCTTCTCCTCCTCCTCCTTCTCCTCCTCCTTCTTCTTCTTCTTCTTTTCCGATTGTCGACATCGAAACGAAATCTTTTGATCAAATATATTGAATGAATGTGTCCTCATTCGAAATCTTGCGTGTGCGTTTGTTCACAATGTACACAAAAGAAAAGACAAAAAAATAAGAATGTCCGTACGATGAACTAGTTAAAATCATACGCAACAATTGTTTGTTGGATTTAGTTTACGATAAAAGAGAAAATTTTTCACAAGGAAAAGAAAAAAAGAACGTTAAGGAAGGACATTGACGTAAACAAAGTTTAAAAATACCATTGAATAATGAATTGAACAGGAAAAACTTCGTACATCGTCAAAAACAAGTATGTATAAATGAAATTTTTCAAGGTTTGAACGAAATTAAACCAATTTATTCAAATAGATATGTGCTTTTGTAGTCATTTACATAAGAGACAACAAATTTGACAAGATTTTAAGAAGGATACATAAGGAAAAGAGCTGGTAAGATCAATATTCCCAAGCTATGTGAAATTCAATGTTAGATTATTTTTGGTAGCTATTGTTTCGATCTAATCTAGATATTTGAACAAAAAAAAAAAGATTCACCTTCATATTCAAACAGACTATTTTATTATAAACAATAGTTGGAAAATCAAGAAGTATGATTAATATTCGATACATCAAGAAAATATTCTTCTTTTGAAGTTGTTCGAATTTTTCATTTGACGAAAGAAGTCATCTAATTGATTAAGTGCTTTCGAATCGGGACTATATGCATTATGTAAACCCAAATAAGTGTTGAATATTCTGAAAAGAGTTCAGGTCCTTAGCTTATTGCTACCAAGTTACTACACTTTTACGGTAGTAATTAAATAAATGGTGTCATCCTTCAGGGAGACTGATTTTCGAATTTTGATTGAAAACTTTGTATAAAGACAGGCCTTAATGAGAGTAGTTTATTATAAAAATTTCAGATATTTTGATTTGCTTCTATCCTGAAATCAGAACATCGAATTTGTCGGTGCATATGAGCAATGTGAAAGACACACTTTTATTATAGCTGTATCTTAAAATAGGAACAATGACAATAGTTGAAATATTGATGGAAAAATTTTACTATGCAAAATTTTAAGTCAAAATTTGAAAATTAGTTTTCCTCAGAAGGATCACGATATTCATTTTACATTATAATTTGCCAATCAATTGTCAATCAGACTAAATAGTTAAGGATATTGTCGGTTTGAATAAGAATCAAAGTAAATACTTCTTCAGATCAGCGACACTCACACTCTTTTGTTTGCTCTACCAGTTAGACCGATTTAAATAAAAGAGTGTCGTCAATCTGAGGTAGAACCATATTTTTATAACTATATGTAGTAGTTTTTCTACAGATACACGTACTCCATTCACTAATTGCTTTGATCCCTGAAAACAATGTGGTGGATGTGAATCGTGTAGAAGCATTCAAGAAGAGATAAGGAAAAATCACTACTCAAAGAGCCTGAACTTTTTTTTAGCATAATTATAGCTTATTTGGGTCTACATAATACTTTCATTTATGAATGTAAAAGAATAGAGATGATTTTATTTAGATTTATCAGATTGTAAAATTTTCCTTAGGATAATAATTTAATAAGTAAAAAAAAAATCTTTACAATAAATGTTGTTAAGACTTATGTAAACAATAATTATTATTTTTCATTTATTTAGCATCAAACAATGGTACTTAAAGTTGGTTTAGGTGATATTGATGATTTATCAACATTAAATGTTCTTGATGAAGAAAGTCTTTTACGTGAATTACGTGCTAGATATAAAAAAGGAGTGATCTATGTAAGTTTTCGTATTCTTATTTAAAAAAAAATTTTTTTTGTCTTGTTTTTAATCCATGAATAGACATACATAGGAGATGTACTTATTGCAATTAATCCATTTAAACAGTTAAATATTTATGAAAAACAAGTTTGTGTTTTTTTTTTATTTTTAAAGATTAAAATCAAATAGAATATTGATATTTTAGCAACATGATCTTTATAAATATGTTCAATGTCGACATCAATTAACACCACATATTTTTTGGATTGCTGATCAAGCATATCGAAAACTTTGTTTAGCAAAAAGATCACAATGTATTGCAGTTTCAGGAGAAAGTGGAGCTGGTAGAATCGATTAAATTGTTTTATTTTGTGAATTTATTTTATATATAATAGGAAAAACTGAATCGACGAAACTTATGGTTTCACATATAATTCATTGTTCAGGTGATGCTGGTGATCGTGAATTACAAAATCGAATAATTGAAGTTTGTATTTAAATAAACTCAGAGAAGAATTATGAGACCATCGAGTATACGAAACACTCGATAAGAAAATTTTTTGTACATTCGATGCATCAATTTCTGAAACAACTAACCTTAAAATTTTAGCTTCCGATAATCTTTCTTTCAAAAGTTAATCAATACCAACTTTTTACCATCATTATATCCTTATACAAAATGGTAAAAAAACTATTCCAAAAAATAAATGGTGTCTTCATGGCGAAATCATGTTTGTGTCTCTTTCTTCTATAATAATTTTTCGATAGAGAAGAAAAAAAAACATTTTTAGTGATTTTCATTACCATAACACGTTGTTGCGCAAAATAAATGTGACACTCAGAATTAGCATCAAAAAGATACATGGAATCAAATGCATGTTAGAGAACATTTTTTTCTTGCGAAAAGGTAACTCTTGGGAAATCACAGATGATTTTTCATAAGAAAAAATTTTCTCTAAGATGTATTTAATTCCAGGTAGCTTTTGATGCTAATTCTGAATGTCACATTTATTTTGCTTTATAATCGTGTCATGGCAATGAAAATCGCTAAAAATATTTTTTTTTCCATTGAAAAATCATTATGGAAGAGAGATATGTGAACCGCGTTCCATCCCGAACATACCATTTTATAGACAATAAAAAGTTGCATAACATATATAAAATTCAGCTTGAAGCTCTCTTATTCTGAATGCTGACAGAATATAGATTGTTATGAAGTAAACATTTTAGATTCATGAAAAAAACTATTCTTCAATCATATTGGTCTTATAAATCTTCAGTCTGTCAACACTATGTTATTTTATAAACAAAAATAAGCACAACTTTTAAAGGATGTTTTTTTCTCATAAGAACATGACGATGGTAAAAGATCGATATTGACTAACTTATGAAAGAGAGGTTATCGGAAGCTAAAATATTGAGGTTAATGGTTTCAAACATTGATGCATTGAATGCACAAAAAGAAATTTTTTTTTTATCGAGTGCTTTGTATACTCGATAGTTTCACAATTTCTTTCTTAACATTTTTAAAATGATTAGACATCACCATTACTTGAAGCATTTGGAAATGCTCAAACATGTATGAATCAAAATTCAAGTCGTTTTGGAAAATATCTTCAATTAAATTTTACCGATGCAGGTCGCATTATTGGTGGTATGTTATTAATTGAATAAATGATAAATTATTATTTGTGATTCTTCTTTTTTTTTTTTGTCAGCAAAAGTTTATCATTATTTACTTGAAAAATCTCGTGTTGTTCAACATGGTCCTGGTGAACGAACATTTCATTTTTTTTATTATTTATTTGCTGGTCTTGAAAAAGAAACTTTAGAATATTTTTATTTGGATGATCCCGAAACTTATCGGTATGCAAAATTTCTTTATATTGAATTAATATTTTATGGAAATTTATGTAGAGTTTTAAAAGATCCATGTGGTGGAAAAGTATTTCCAAGTCGATCGGATTTTAAACATTGTCGACAAATGTTTAATACACAAAAAGAAATAATGCGTAGAGTGGGATTTACTGATGATGTAAAATACAATTTTTTTTTTGTTAGTATGATGAAAAAAATTTTTTATTTTGTATTATTTAGGATATAAATATGGTATTTACTATTCTTTCGGCAATTCTTCATTTAACTAATATTCAATTTTCACATGATGATGAAACTGATGGAGTTTATATTGAAGATGAATATCCATTGGAAGTTGGTAGGTGATTTTTTAAAACTTTTTTCGATTGTATAATTTTGTTACTTAATGAAATTTTATAAATTTGAATTTCTAATTATTGTTTTTATTACGAGAAAAAATACACACACAAGAAATGTGACGATGATATCTGACTTGAACATGTCTGACAAGGAGTTATGACAGACGTATCCTTGCTAAGATATTTGAATTTTAAATAAACGACTATTTTGGATCGCATCTCAAAAGAAGGACATTTTTTATGATAAGCTTATGTCTCAATACAAAAATGTTTGTTCTACCGCAAGCTTAAAAGTATTTCTATTGACTACAAGGCTCATCTATGATTCTTGGGACTCGTTTCTTTTGTTGAACTTTCATTTCATTGAATTCTTAAGATTGGTTCCTATTTCATAAATTTAAGAAGTATTATTCTATCTTGAAACTTCACAATCAGGTATGTATCGAAACGGAGATATTATTGAAAGTGAGGAAGATTTTCCTCTAAAAAAAACCTACGAGACTTTTATTGCGAACTATTCAGCTAGATTTCATCCAATTGAGTAACTCGAGATAAAAGTCTCATAGGTAGAGCCTATCGAACCTAAAATTTTTGAACCCGGTCGAACCTTACTTTGATACTCCCAATGAAAGTTTCTAATCGCAATTCGATAATCGTTCCGAATATATGATAATGATGATTAGAGATTCCGATAGAAAGATTTGTTTTTCATATTTAATCTACATCTGTAAATATTATTGATGAGACTAGATAAACAGAAGATAAAAGCCAAAGAACGATGGGAATAATTCAGATTTCAGTGACAATTTATGTACAACGTTTCTATGAAATTTTGTAGTTGAAAGACATAACGATTATTAAGTTTTCGTATTTTCACGATAAACCGATTTGAATGAATTTGATAATTGATAACTATTTCTATGTTTATAGTTTGCACCTTACTTGCACTTGATCAAGAAATTCTTACAATGGCTCTTATTTCAACATTTAGTATAACTAAAGGTATATCATAAAATTTTACATTACATTTTATTTATTAAAAAAAATAATATTTCTAGGTGAACGTGTAATAAGTTTAAAAAATTTTGACCAAGCTAATGATTGTCGTGATGCACTTGCTAAAGCATTATATGAACGTTTATTTTCATGGATTGTTAAACAAACAAATACACTTTTACAACCAAATCGACGGTAATATTATTTTCTTAAAAAACAGAATTTTATAAATTGTTTTTGTTTTTTTTTTGTTTGATATTAAATAGACGTAATCAAACAGATAATAATATTTATCGTACATGTTCAATCTTAGATATGTCAGGTTTTGAAAATTTTCAAGTTAATAGTTTTGAACAATTATGTATCAATGTTGCAAATGAACATCTACAGTATTATTTTAATGAACATATTTTTTTACAAGAAGAACAAGATTATGGAACAGAAGGTGTATCATGGGAAAAAGTTGAATTTCAAAATAATGAAGATTTAATTGAATTATTTATGGGAGTATGTTAAAATTCTTTATTTCTTTTTTTTTTGTCTTTGTTTTAATTTTAAAAATAAAATTCTTTGTAGCCATTAGGTATATTTGCATTACTTGATGAAGAAACTCGTTTTCCAAAAGCAAATGATGAATCATTGGTACAAAAATTTCATAGTCATTGTAAAAATCATCCAAGATATATAAGACCAAGAGGCAATGAAACAGCTTTTGGAATTCATCATTATGCTGGAAAAGTATAAAATAAGAATATATATATATATATTAAATTTTATATTTATTTGTTTCATTTCTCTTCGTTAATTTAGGTTGTTTATGATGCTCGTGGATTTTTAGAAAAAAATCGAGATAATCTTAGTGCAAATTTAATGGAATGTATGGAAAAAAGTGGAATTGAATTAATTGGTTATTTGTTTACTATTAGTGATGATACAACTAGCATATCAGATACTCTTCTATCATCTACGTATGTTAATCTTATACTGCATTAGATATCTCTAAAGGACACAGAAGTTTATAGATCTAAGCATTTTAAATAGGAACGTTTTATGTTTTGAACGAGAATATGAAGAATTTGAGTCAGTTTACTGTCTAACAATCATCGAACATATGAAAGTTGATATGCTGGTAACGCTGTACTCACGTTTTTAAACTTTAACTTTCATCACATAAAATACTTGATACAATGAGCCTTTCTACATTATATTGTAGACTAAGTTATACAACTCCATACTTTGTTTTATAATAAAATCATTCAAAAAATAACTCATGCGATTATTTTTGCCTACAATTATTTTTACGTAAATAGAATTAGAAATTCAAAGAATTTTCACTCTCTGTACTGAAAGCTATTTTAAAATCAAGTTAATCATGAATAAATAAGACAAATAGAAATGTCTTTGATAGTGATTATTTTATACTATTTTTCTTCATATCAATATAAAAAAACACTATTGATTACTTCTAATTAATAAATAAAAATGAACAAAATTAGAATTTTGAAAATCTTCATACATACTATGATGTATTCGAGATATCTAAGTTCAAGATATACGTAGATATAAACGATTTGCAATTTGATAACCGTTATCAAATCTCAAACTATTTATATTATTTTTACTCAAGAGCAAACTCATATAGCAAGACTTTAATCCCAAAATCTTTTTCTGGTTGTGTCGTATCGACAGTAAAGTACAGTGTTATTGATGATACCTTATCTTATCAAATCTAATCGCAAATTCCAAGATTTTTGAGTTTATTGCGTTCGTAATTCAGTTTCAATGATTTTTGAAATTTAAAGTATTTTAAAAATAAGAACACGAAATCCGAAATTTTCGTTTTTAAATCCTTGAAAACTTACTCATATCAATTTTGAGAATGCAAATATATTCACTTATCCTTTTAATGAGCTGTAATTTATAGAAGTCGCTAAAAATCCATGTGTCAATATCTCGAATCGATAATCTATTCAAACACGGCGATGACCTATGCTAAAAATTTTGTAACTTCTATCCTTGACTTCGATTAACATTCTTGTTATCTATGTTCAAATTGATGAACTTTGATCATGCATTCTATGTATTAGATTTATCACTAATAAAAACAAACAAATAATTTAGTTAAGATCTGTCAATAATATTTAATTCTCTTTCAGAAAACTAATTCTAAGTGCATCTGATAGCAATATCCAAGTCAAGAAATACAGGCCGCAAAAAATGATAGGAACTTGAAAGCAGTAATCCAGTAGCTGTCTCTGTCCGGTCACGAATGGAGCTAGTAAGAGTCCAGTCACGGAATTCTTGATTCCAAGTTTTACCATTGTCTCGAGTTTTTCGGCAGGGGCTTGCCGAAATTCTTGACTTGAATAGTTTTTTTCTGCAGATCATTGTAAATTCTTTTTAAATCAATAACTTTTTTCGATTAAAAACCCACATCGTGTAGTAAATTTTATTTTCTATATGTGCTCTTATTAATTAAATCTTTCAAAAAATACTTTTCAAAAACTTAATTGTTTTATTTAAAGCTTGTGAGCGGAGGTTCCCAACTGTTACTCATCAATTGAACTAATATTTTGGTCATAATTAAACTTCGACGAGACTAGTAGAAGCCTATAAAACTTAGTTTTTACACGCTGTCCTTCGAAATTTATCACAAGTTTACTGAGTTTTTTTTTTATCTCTGACAATACATTTGTGAAAAAATCGAATTACGAAATTTCAAACTACATCTTGTCTATATGCAGGTCTCCTTACCATTCTCCTTGTGACATACGATTGTTTTTAGATATTCAGTATCTGAAGAAGAACACATCCCTTTAGATTGAAACTTTCAGAACATTCTAATATCTATGAGACCTGCCTATAGGAGAGATTTCAGGTTGAAATTTCGTAATTCGATTTTATTCACAAATATCTTGTCAGCGATTAAAAATTCAGTAAAATTATAATAACTTGAAAAGAACGCCGCATGGAGATCAATTCTTATAGGTTTCTACTAGTCTCGCCGGAGACTCCCTATGGACAAAATATCAGTTTAATTGACCGTTTCACACTTGGAGACTGATCCTCATTAGAAATTTGTCAAGTTTGTAATTAATCTAAAAATTCAAAACGTGTCCATATGAAACTGTTGTTTTTTTTTTGTCAACATATGCTGATTCAGATCTAATCCAATACAAAACTATTATTATTATGTACAAAGAAAAGATGAAATATTTCATATAATCTTTGTGTAATTTTGATTATTTTAAGTTCACCATTTGGAATGATAAGTAAACCTAAAACAATATCAGTTTATCCAACTCGTCGTCCAAAATCTTTTGATGCTGATTATACAAAAGAAAATTTAAGTCAAAAAGCTGCTAAATCTCTTCGACAAGAATCGTATGTTGATCATGTTTTTAATCAAAATTGTTTTCTTTTTCTATGATAATTTATATAGACGACCATATAAACCTAATACAATTCAAAAAGAACGTTTTAGTCAACATACAGTTGCTGTTCATTTTAAAGTAAATATTTCTAAAATTCGAATGCACACTTTTTTTTCAAAATATTTTCGTTCGTAGAATTCTCTTGCTGAATTACTCGATAAAATGAAAGATGCTGAGCCATCTTTTGTCAGGTATGTAGATCACTATGTAAATATCATTTGTATATGGGTGGTAGTAGAAGAGGATGTTTCTTTTTTTTTCTCTTCTTTTCTATTACTACTGCCCAGTCGGTTAGATTATTCAACATTCTCTTAAATTCTATTGTATTTGTTCTCTTGTTACCTTCGTGTTCGTGACAATGATACAAATTGTTTAAATGTATTGTGTACATCGACAATGAGAAACTAATAAAGAAATTTGTGTGAAGTTTACATGAAGGTAGACGTATTCATTTATATATTGTATAGAATAACAAAGGATAGATTTATCTTTCAGTCTTGAGTTTATATTCATTATTCAATGTATTTGATTAAATAAAAACGTTTTTATTCGAGTGTGTAAAATTAAACATGAGAAAAATTTTAAAGATCTATTGAAGAGTTTGAATTCGAAGATTTACTATTCGTTACTGATGTGATTAATTGACACGATTTATGTATTTTTTTTTATTGATCGTCGAAAGGCTTATTTCGCTTGTGTCTTTTCATTTTTGTCCCCATTGCGTGCTTGGATTTTAGTTATTTTCTTCTCTTCAAACGAACATTTGTTTGTTTCACTAAAGATAAAAAGTAAGGTATAGTAATTTCTTTTTTATGTTTATCTATTGATTAGTCTTAAATGTTGAGCAAGTAACCTAACTAACTATACCAAAAATTTTATTAACATTTTGTATTTTATTCGATTCGTTTCTAATCGTATATCGAATGTCAGATTTGAATTTATTTTCAACAAAATCTGATTTAAAAAAAAATTTATTATCAATTAATAAATTTTCTATTGATCAACAACAATATTCAAATGATGTACGACAAGATTTATCGGATGTAACATCAATATTTATATTTGATGATCAAAATCTTGAAATATCATCATTATCAAATGAAAAAACTACGAATAGTTGGCAAACAATTCATAATTATAAGACTATATCAAAATCATATGATTTCGATAGTGAACGAGCTGATTATTGTCGACTTGATCGACATGGTCATTGGCTTTTATTATCACCTCCACGTCCTTTTCATGATGATACAAATAAAACTATTACATATGATAATAATAAATATTTATCAAAAGATTCAATTTCACAACAAATTGAACATACATTTCCTGATTCATGTGAAAGTTTAACCGTTTCTATTGATTTTCATGTACCAACCGATGATTTAATAACAGATAATGATGATGTAAATGGACAAAATATGGTTGTTGGAAAAAATAAAATACATCAATATGATAATATAACATCAGATAAGATATACAAAGTTTCAAGGTAGACAAAAAAAGAAGATAGATATATCTTAAATTTATCGCGTAAATATTTTTTTCATATTTTCATTGTCCGCCAAATTTCGTGTTAGGAAATATAAATATAGTCATTATTGCGATGTGTAAGTCATCGGAAATTTAAAATCACTTCTTCGATAGAGAAAATCTGAATAAAACATCGTAGAAGAAAATATTTATTTTGATAAAATATTCTATTTAAATATTTATTCATAGATGTATTAAACCAAATCACGGTAAAGTAGCTAATCAATTTGATGAAGAATTAGTTCAAGAACAATTACGTTATAACGGTATACTTGAAATATCTTATATACGAAATCAAGGTTGGCCAGTTCGATTTATATTTGAAGAATTTTTTTATCGGTTTGTTTTTATTTGATTTTTTTTTTCTAAAAGAAATTTTTTTTTTCATTTTTATTTTAAACAATTAGATATAAATTTATCGCGTATCCTCAAAGTAGTCCAACAAGACCTAATGCAATAACATGCGAAAAAATTCTCAAAGATTTAAAAATAACTGATTATGTTATTGGAAAATCAAAAGTAAAAAGAAAAAACTTATTTTGTTTTTCTATTTAAAATTTTAAAAAATTTTCTATTTTTAAGGTTTTTATAAAATTCGAACATTTAGAAAAATTAAATCAACAATATGAACAGTATATATCAAATATAATTAAATGTCAAAAAGTAGTTAAAGGTTTTCTTGTACGAAAAAGTCTTCTACGTAGAGCTAAACATTATGCTAATGAACGTCATAGTTTATTAACAGAAATAAATTCAAGTGGAAAACGAACATTAGAAAAACTTGTATCATTACCAAAAGTAAATATTTTTTTGTGTTTGGCAAGTGATGCATAATAAAACGAGACAACACGTTGCTCTCTTTTTAAGGGCACTTTCCAATACACCAGAGAATTTACTATTCTACAAAACTATTGTCTTTGTTTTCTTTTGTCAGTACAAAGTTTAAAATATGAGCACTTACTCAATCGTCTAACTACGATTTCTGATTTTGCGCAAGTTTTCACTTATCAGAACTGATGCTAAAATTATAGTGTTTAGCATCAATAGATATAGGATTTCGTGCTCTCTACTTCCACGACATTCTCGGAGTTTCTGTTGGTATTGTTCAGAACAAAAAGGCTTTGAACCAACACCTAATGATATTTTGAGACGTATTCTGGAAAACCACGTTTCACAAAGCGAGACATGTTGTAAGACGCGTCCAGTGTTTTATGCAAATTTTCTTCTCCGGAAGGACAATTTAAAACTCTGGGAGGGTAAACGCGATCTTCGAAGGGCGATATCCTCAAACTCGATAAAACAATGCATATGTGTGTTCTCCTGCAGTCGGTTGTAGAATTTAATTGTGAACAAAATAGCATCATTGATAAATTGAAGAACAGAATTCTTCAGAGAAAGACTTTTTTGTACTCTTGTTCTACTCTGCAGAGCTCTGTTGAAAAGTAGAGATATTAGGAAAAGAACAATGATGTAAATCTGCCACAGAAGAGTTTTTCTCATTTTTTACTCCAAAGACTTTTCTCGCATGTATGCCTTCTGACATCTTGAGACATATATCAAAATATAGAAAATTTTATGGAGAACTTTATAGTATATTTGAAATTTCAGTAAAATCTTTATACTAAATTCTTTTTGACAGTCGCAGTTAGACGATTAAGTAAGCGTTCATCTTTTAAATTTTGTACCGACGAAAAAAAAAGAAGACAACGTTTTGTCCGGTTTATTATGCGCCATTCGTTAGTTTTAAAAAAGTAATATGAAATTATTTAGGTTTCGACAAAAAATATAAAACAATTAACATTAAAAATGGATAATAAAACAGGCCGACGTTCCGGTCATTTTATAAAGAAAAAATCAAAAGATAAAAAAAGACTTTCGTCTGATGCCCCTACACCACTAAATGAACAAGAACATGATGATATGTTAAAAGTAGCAAAAGTAATATTTTTTAAATTTCCAAAAAAATATCGATTAAAAATTTTTTTGTTTTTTGTAAATTATTTTTATAGAAATTACAATTACTTGATAATGATGAAATCGATGAATTAAATGGTATTGAACATGGAATAACTTCCCCAACACATCCATCTCTTAAAATATCAACATCTGATGAATTAAAATCATCTTTAGAAGGTTTATCTGAACGTGAAACTCGTATTCTTGTTCAAGATGAATTTACACCAATGGTTAATAAACACGGTCAACAGAAGAATTTTCCCATTGAAACAAATATACAATCAGGTTCAGGATTACCATATGCAACAACATTAATATCAGAAGGTCCATTAAAAAGTCATGATGGTGTTATGGCACCAACAATGAGTTTAACAACAGCTGAACAAATAATGAGACAAAAAAAAGCTGCTGCAACAAGTGGCGATTTATTTATGACCGGTAGAAAATATTTATGATTGTGAAAAAATAAAACAATGTTTGTTTTTTGTATTTCTTAGATTGGGCTATTGGACAAGAAGAAAAACAACAAATAAAACCTGCACGCTCTAAATCAGAACCAAGAAATGTTTTAGGTGAATTACATGATGAAAATATTTTATCAGAACAAAAACGTTTAATGATTAGAAAAATTCTTATGTTACAAAAACAAAAATTTAAAGATAATCAAGCACGTAAAGCACGTCAAAGTAATGAATTTGAAAATTCCATATATAGTTTTTCTCATGGAAATCAAACATCAAAACGTGATGATGAAAAAACATTATTCGACGAGTAAATTTATTTATTTTAATGAAAATATTTCAATTTTTAGTTTTTTTTAAAATTTAGTGATAGTTTAGATTGTTGGGATGCAGCTAGAGAAATGAATGTTCCAGAAGCATATGAGAAAACAATTCATTGTTATCGTTTATCAATGCGTCTGTTAAAAATTGCTACATACGTTGTACTTAATATTGGTATACTAATAACGGCACTTGTTAGTAAAGGAGCTTTATTACTTATGACAAATTCAGTTGCTAAAGTACAAGAGGTAAGAAAAGTAAAAAATCTAGAAGAGTGAATCTTTTTCGTAAGAGCATACTTTCTTTCGACAATTAAAATAACGAACTAACAAGGGAGCATTCCTAAGTGATCCGTTCCGTTTGCCTCTGTATTTTACCAATATGTAGGAAATCATTAGAGTGGCGTATCCACCAAAGATTTTCTGCTTGTGCTTATATTTGGTCAAGATAGAGACTTTTTAATAGATTCCTTCCGTAGGAATCCAATTTTCGAAAAAAAAAACATAATTTCGACTTGAACCTTTGTGCATATGAGATCTTGATTAGATTATCTCATGCAAAAAGTTTCATCAGTTTTTGATACCGCTTTATAGACGAGGAAATCTCTCCAGATGTGGAACCGCTTTTCGATACTCATTAAATGAACATTGTTACGGCCGAAAAATAATTTGACACCTGAAGAGATTTCCTCATTAGCAATTTTATATCCCAAACTGATGAAACTTTACATATGAAATAGTCTAATAGAGACCTTCATACGTACAAAGTTTTAGATCGAAGTTTTTTTTGTTACGAAAACTGTACTCCTACCGGAGGAATCTCTTAAAAAGTCGTTATCTCGACCAAATCTAAACATGAACAGGAAAACCTTTGGAGGTTACGCTACTCTGGTGATCTTCTAGATATTGATAAAATATGGAGGCAAATGGAGGGAGTCACTTGGGGATGTTCCCGCATAAGATTTCCAGTGTTTGCATATTCCTCCTAAAAGAATTTTCTATTGGAAATTCTAGAGAACATAAAGTAGTGGGAAAAAGTTTAACAACAACGTATCCTTTTTCTATAATATTAACTATCTAGCTCAAATTTCGATTGTAATTTGAATAGTCAATGGAGTTTTCTATCTAATGCATTATTATACCAAAATTTCATAGATGAACTATGATGACAAAGTTTCTAAAAAGTCTAGACACGTTGGTTTTCAGATCAAAGAAGACTTTGTTGGAACTACTTTCAAGAATGCCATTTTAAAGAAAATAAAATAAGGGGTTGCCGCATTTTCTACGAGCTTCCTTTAAAAAATTACAAGTGTCACGAAAACCATGAAAAAGCGGTTTTTAGTGATTTTTTTTGATAAATTTCGTTTTCTTACAGTTTTTTGTGGTATTTTTTAGCTTTTTAAGGAAAGGTCATAAAAAAATGCGACGACTCCTCATTTTATTCTCGTTAAAATAGCATTGTTAAAAAAACAGCACCGACAAAATCTTCTAGGACCTAAAAATTACTGTGTACTATCTGAATATGAACTAATTGCTTAACATTATAGAAAAAATCAAAAATACGTTGTCCTTAA